CCACGCACGTCAACGACTGCGGCACTTTATACATAATTAAAAATTTACACATTGCACCAACATTGATTCAAAAACAACAAAATTGAATCATTCAACAGCTCAACTTCAGACTATAAATCTACATATTTTACAATCTCAACTAAGCAAACCTTACCCATTCACAAATTACACCTCGCTACTGTTTGCACCAAAACAGACATTGAAGGCATTCACACCTCACCAATTTCAAAACAAGACACCTCAAAAAATTAAAAGCAATACACCTCACCAACTTCAAATGCACCGCACCAAATAATTAAAACTTTGGAACTACATTTTTGTGTGTATTTTTTAATATTCATTTTTAAGACCTATTCTGCACCACTTGACCAAGTCTCATGACTTCAATTTTGTGTTTTGGAGCTCTTGAATCCCAAAATGAGCAGCCACTTTTCACTTTCTACCCACTGTACTTGAACAAGGAAAGACATAATTCAATAAATAAACAGCATTTCTGTGGTCTTTACCTATAGGGCATTGATGAATTTTTGTACTTCAAGTTGATCCTATTCAGACCTTTTGCAATATTTTGAAAGATTCATGTTCAATTACAATTCTTTTAATGAATTTTTGTAACAAAGTTTATTTTGAAAATCAACAAAAAAACATTTTCAGGCACTGAATTGAAAGGATATACATCAATATCAAACTGGTCATTAAATTTAAATAATCAATAAACTGTTACATTCAATTGTGTCACCCTCAAATTATTTTTTTCCCAGCTTCTAGCAACATCAGAAATTTGAGTCATAAATTTACCATAATTTTTGTCAGCTGGCAAGCAAAACCCAGTTACCCCTTAACTAGTCAACTTAATGTTTTGCTACACCACCTGCACTTTTATACATTTCACACTCATTTCACTCATTTTCTTATTCATTTCACTCATTTCATTATTAACATACTCTACATATATGCTTGTATCTAGTTGGCCTTGCCAAGCCAGATATATAAAGTTGTACTGACTGAAGTCTATTGTTCCCCAGACTTTCAGAAGAGAAGATAATAATAACCTCATTTTATTTACCCATTCCTCTTGAGCTCAGAGATACATCAACATATCACTACTCTAAGCTTGCTCGACCCTCTCAAATCAACACATCACTGTCTGGATCCTCGAGTCTGAACTTCTCAAAACTTATCAACGGCTGGGCGTGAACCCCTTGGACCGTATTAGATTCTTTCTACGACTTGGAGCCACTGGTCAACACCAGTAAACTTCCATCGAGCAGATTCTAGTCACCTCGGAGTAACCCACCGCTGACAATTGGCGACCACCCCTTATACCCGTACACCTGGAACTCAAGGCCCTGTGCGGACGGAACCCTCTCTACTTGGAGGATTCATCTTTTTTTTTCTGTTTTTTTAAGAAGAATCGGGTCTGTGGCTTGTCTCTAGACTCAGAAGACTAACACAGAACAAACCATTGAAAACTACCCTCAAACACGTACAACATATTGCGATAGTCCACTTTAATCACATTAGATTCATCTTGATCTTCGGCAACACCCCTTCCACGTCGGCCTTGGTTCCATCGAGGTCATCACGTCGGGAACGGCTAGTTTTAGATTCTATCACACCTGGTAGATTCCTGGATCAAAGATAACCATTTGTGTTGCTACCATCAATCTCTCCTCGTCGGGCCAGACCTCTCGGATCGCTATTGTTCCTTTTTTGATCACGCTTCATGTCTATCGAGCGGGAAGTCAAATTGCTCCGGCAAGAGCTCTATCAATTGCAAATCAAACTGAAGGACGTCGAATTGAAGTTACTGGAACGGACCACGTTGGAGTCAACTTGGAATCGGAACGACTACCCCTCCCTCGTTCGCAATGATCTAGCGAGTAGTCGAAGCAGCATTGCTGGAAAGGTTGTGCCTGCAGTTAGAAAAGGCAATCACTCAACACTTCGCAGCCGTTCATTCAAAGTGATGCGACATCTCATAAATGTCGTTGATGTCTCAAGTACAGCTAGTGAGCCCAAGAAGAAGCGCATCATCAGAGACAGTTTGCGGGATCCAATTGCCTCTGCTTCACCAGCAACAAAGTTGAAAGCCTCAGCGCGGCCAAAGAAGGCAACGAACACGCCACCAAAGGGGCCGTCAGCTCTGTTGAGTAGTCAAAAGGACTCCTGTGTCTCATCAATCTCGGTTCGACCATTGGCAGATCCCCGACCAGAGGTGGAACCAAAATCAAAGCCGCAGCATCTTACACCTCCTAGGAACCCAAAAGATAATCCCAGTACAATCTCTGCAACCCCCCGTCACTTGCATCCTAAACGGCCTCGCCGAGTTCAACTCTTGAACGACTTGTCTACTGCAGACAAAGAAGCCAACTTCAAAACCTCTCAAGCTGTCAGTAAACTACCCATCACAAAGGAAATCAGGACCGATGCTCAATCCAGGTTGGAAGAAGTAATACCGAAGGCAGCTGAGGTGCCTACGGTCACAAAAACACCAGGGGACATCCTGCCTGAAGTTTTTTTGAGCAACGACCTCCAACTTCGCTGTGGACGATTCTCTCTGCTCAAGTTCGACCCTGATGTACTAAACCTCATACCGACATCAGTCAAAGAGAAAAGATTCATGGAAACTACAACATTAACTGACATTCAAAACTTGCCCCATGCATCGGAAATCTTGATTAGAAGACAAATACTTGGACTCTGGGAATGGAAAGAAGGCACCTCAAAAGCTGTATTGCATGAATTCAAGACGCCTGAACGTGGTGCAACTATCAGCACTAGAGGATATAAGTTTGTTGGCTTTGCTTGGAAAGGTCACTTAGGACAACAGCCCCCAAGAATAGAAGAACTTCATGAAGACATCTCACAAGGAGCCGACACTCTCAGATGGTATTGGTTCAAAGATCTCTGGTTACTTTTTTACTTTGATTAATTTTTCTCAAATGATAGCTTCATCATTTTTTTTTCTGTTTTTTTTTAGTAGTAGCAAATGTCAGCTGGCAAGCAAAACCCAGTTACCCCTTAACTAGTCAACTTAATGTTTTGCTACACCACCTGCACTTTTATACATTTCACACTCATTTCACTCATTTTCTTATTCATTTCACTCATTTCATTATTAACATACTCTACATATATGCTTGTATCTAGTTGGCCTTGCCAAGCCAGATATATAAAGTTGTACTGACTGAAGTCTATTGTTCCCCAGACTTTCAGAAGAGAAGATAATAATAACCTCCTTTTATTTACCCATTCCTCTTGAGCTCAGAGATACATCAACATATCACTACTCTAAGCTTGCTCGACCCTCTCAAATCAACACATCACTGTCTGGATCCTCGAGTCTGAACTTCTCAAAACTTATCAACGGCTGGGCGTGAACCCCTTGGACCGTATTAGATTCTTTCTACGACTTGGAGCCACTGGTCAACACCAGTAAACTTCCATCGAGCAGATTCTAGTCACCTCGGAGTAACCCACCGCTGACAATTTTTGTGTCTGATTGTGGTTAACACCAGGGTACTTACCAAAATTCATCACCCCTTGCACATGAGTAAAAATATAGAGACTTATAATTTTGACAAAGTTGAAGTGTTTCTGTGAAACTCTAGATCTATTTCTGAAAATTTTACATTAGAGATGGTCTCCGGGTATCCACTGGCAGATACCCACCAGTGGATGCCCCCTTTTCCTTGAATTCCCTGTGGATATCCGGGTATCCCCAAGGATACCTGAGGCCGGAAGGAGGAGATGGCCGGCTAGAAGGAAATCCTTCCAGCCGGCTGCCTCGCCGCTGATTTAATGGGCGGGTATCCGTGGATACCCACTCAGATACCCTCTGCGGCTGATGGATACCCGCCAGCGGGTGCGGATGGCAATTTCCCCCGAAAAAGCAGCCAGATATTCGCATACGCGCGGATATCCGGATGTGCCAGGGCCATCTCTATTTTACATAGAAGTGCCTGATTCAATTTGATTGTAATTCAATTCTGAGTCAGTCATTCTAGAAAAAAACTGCTGATGCCATTCAAATTATCATATATTCTGGTTTTTCTCACAGTTTCATCAGCAAACACAGGGGAAAACCATGTGCCAAGATCAGGGAAAGTTGGAGGAAATTGAAAATCTTTCTTTGGAAATTGAAAATAAATTCAGTGTAACACCCAGTGAATTTAAAATGAAATTTATAATTATTTCAAGGTACTTCTAGTGATTTTAATTTCTTTTTTTCAATATTTTGAGGTGACTGAGTTGAGACTTAAAGTCACTGGCTTGCCAGTGCCTTGGAATTTCCCCTGGTGATAGAGGTGGTTCTTGAACCCAAAGGGTCTGGGAGCACTATGCTTCAACCAGGACTGGAACAAAGGACTGGCTCTTCTGTGTAATGTTTGTGAAATGAACTGTGTATATATTTCAATCTGTGAACTGTACTACTTGTGAACCTCTTGTGTAATAAATATCTGTGACAGGTGTCCCACAAAAAAATGTGTACTGAGTGGGATGAGGAGGGAAACAACTGGCAGGCAGAGGCCTCCTTATATAGTAATTTATGAGGGATTTTAGCCCCAAGGGACCCCCTGTATGAGGCATTTTAGCTGCCCTATCCTTGAAAATCCTGAGGGATTTTTGCTAGACTATCTACAACGCATTCCTTTTATATGTAAGCTGTAAGAAAGGAATTCATGTGTTCTGTGGCTGAATAAATGGGAATTTAACTGGTACAACTGGTGGCCAACTTGTGGTTCTGTAAGTATAAAAGGAATTCAAAATGGAATAAAGGAATTCAATATGCAATATGCAATATACCCCCATGCAATATACCCTCCAGCTGAGTGCCTCTGATCCTGTGATCCTCCGTGTGACATCCTTGATTCTGCGTAACTTCTGATCCAGTAGAGATATGAAGGTGGTTCCAGTGAGTGACTAGGGGTTAAATTGGCCGTAGATTCCTTTTCTGAAGTCCATTTGTCCATATTGTGAGTCCTTCATTGATAAATAATAAAATTTTGAATTTTCCTCCCTTCATACACAGGAATAATGACCACACCGTCGATTTTTTCTCCGTGGGGGTTGTTCTAAAAGGATCAATTTGTTGTCGATCGAGTCCTTTGGTGCTGTTGGGCTGTTGGAAGAAGCATTGTCAGCCCAACAGCACTGAAGGTTGTACATGCCCACTTGGCAGCCACTGGGCTGCCAAGTGGGCAAAGTGGCTGATTCAAAGGGAGGGGGGGGATAAGGAATTCGATATAAGGGGGGGGGGGGCTCACCAAGCGGATCCCAGATCAAAGCGGACTCTCCTCCGTTTTAAATCGGATTGGTTCAAAAACGGTTGGTGTCGTTTTTCGTTTTTTGGGGCTGTGGCTCGGTTCAAAAACGGTTGGCGATCGTCGGCGATCGTTCTTCGTTTTTTGGGGCTGTGGATCAGTTCAAAAAGGGTCGGCAATCGTCTGCGTTTTTTTTTTGGGGCTGAGGAAAATGGTATGTCAGCCTGACAGCACCAGCATATTTGATAGAATGGGGGGGGGGGTACTCACCAAACAGCCTGGAATCGAGGATGAGTTCAATGAGGTGATGAGGTGAATGTCGGATGTACTTTGATTGGTTTTTCGGGCGTTGGGACGGAAGCAGGAGGTTTGGCAGCTAAGTGCCGGCCACGTGGGAAGCTGAGGGGAGCGTGGGACTCATAATCCCCAAAGTAGATAGTTTGGGTGGATTGTATTGCCGAGGGAGCCATCTTCAAGACAGGAGTGACGGAGTTGATGTTCAGGATGAATTTCAGGATGATCAACTTGTTCTGTTCCAATAGATCGTTCGCCTTCATAAGCTGATTCTTGTGGGCTGGTTGATGATCGTTCCGGGTACCACTGATGGGGGGTAAAGTCAAACAAAACACGATTTGGAGTATGTTCAGGAAAGGGAGTAAGATCGGCGAGAATAATGGGCTCAATCGGACCCCGTTTGGTGATCGACCAATGTGCGAAAGCGTCGGGAATAGGCCAAGTACCTGTCAAGATGAATGAAACAAATAAGTATATGAGTTACTTGATTCTTTGATCAGGATATCTGTAACTTTGGGTTTAGGACAGCCTCACATTGCCCGATCTAGTCGAAAGAGGAGCACAAAACCGAAAGGAACCGGTCATAAAACTCTACCAAGCCAGGGTTTCCAGGGATCATGTAAACCAGAATTCTGGGGCCAGTGATCGGGGGCTTGGCGGCAGACTCCGACGGAGAGTGTAGCAGTTGAAAGTGTGCTCCATCAGAGGGATTGCAACTGAAGCAGTTGGTAGATCTATCAAATGTCAGATGAGGCCGCTCGAAGGAAGAATGGATCAGATCACTCGGAGGGTAGCCCGGATATCGGTAGGATGTCAACAGCTTCCTGATAGTTTCTCTGGAAGCAGTGCTCTGGATATCCTTCAAATCATGATATCATTTCCCGATCTTGTCATGTCTTGTGTGGAATCTGTAAAGAAAGGTCGAAGAAGATTGCAAGCTGGATCCACAAGCTATACGACATCTGCTGGAAATGATAGATATTCATGATAGTCAGCAAGTTTAAACCAACCAAAATTATCCGTTGGCATTCAAATGATTGGGTATACTTTGCCTGAGGGACTTGTTGATGATGAGGTATCAATTGATGAGGGGTGGGTGGGTCCAGTGGCTGTGGTCCAGCTTGGCAAGGATATTGAGGCACTTTGGATTCTATGTTCTTCTACAGGAATGAAAGCTGCTTCCTTTGGCTTGAATGGCTTATTGATCACTTAATCCTTGTTATTAGTTGGTCTTGGCAGCTTGGCACAAGTCTTTGAATACCAATGTATAACATGTTAATATAATTGAAAAAAACAGGTTCTCTCAAGAAGGAATAAAAAACAGTCAGTAGCTTGATATCACAGGTGTTGACAAAAGTATGCATTATTTTGGGTATACACACATCTTAAAGCACTAGTTAATCCCCTTTCACCCATTGTTCTTACAATGAAACCAAATGAAAACCACCAAGAATGTAAGTATTTGAAGGTATAACCAATATCTAGGCAATCTGCAATATTAGCACTAGGGACTGGAACATATGTTGTAGGGATATGAAAAGTTGTATATACAAGTTTTTGAAATGTGACCAGTGTCAAGTGAATAGGGGGGTGGTGAATCAGTTGGTGATTCAGTGGTGTGGTGACAAGTGATCTATAATTAAACAAATAGCTGTTCTTCAAGAGCAATCAACAAGGATTGTGTCAATGTACATTCACAAGTAGTGACCATCATATGTGTTGTTTTAAAATAACAAGCAGTCACCAATGCAAATTTAGATTTCAAGTTCCATTTCAAAGAATAATTTTCAAATAATAATTGAAAGCAATGTGAATGAACCAAGGAATAAGAAATTTGCAATGACCAGTTGTGGCAGAATGACTTTCCACTAAGAACACCACAGCTTGCCTTTCACCCAGACTTGATTCAAATCTTTTGCCAATCACCACACTATGTGATTGTATGTGTGGAAGCACTATCCCAGAGGGGATGAAAGAAATATTACCAGTTGTTGATGTTTTCCTACAAAACCACAAATAAACATCACATAATTCAGACACTCATATAAGACAGACCCCTTTACCTCCAATCTTTTGGATGGTGATAGACAGTGGTTTACCTGGTGCCCATTCAACTTCATCACTGCAATTCAAATAGTCATTATGTTGGCCACACATCCTCAATGAAGTTTTTTGGAAGCAGTAAAGCCACTTTGTGGAAGCAGTCAACCTACATTTGATAACTGACCACAGTTGCACAGTAGCCTCCCCTCACTCCCCATGACATCTTGTATTAAACCCTGTAGGTGAAACCATACAAAATAATTCTAATGACTACCTAAATGAATGATGTTGAGATCAAAGATATCAACTGACCCAAAGAATATAAATCTGATGTTGGCTCACTTCTTGGACTGCATCTAGATTTCATCCAGGACCCCAGAATTATTAACCATGTGAGATTCAACCTGCTGGCTAGCCATTCAGTTTGCAATTGATATACACAATCAATAATTAATAATTTCCCCAACAATAATCAAAGTAGCATATATGTGGATATTTTCATACTGCTCCACACACATTGAAATAAAGCATAGAACAGAAGTTAACTGCCATACAGGAATTTTGCATAAATTCCATACCATAAATTTGAACACAATCTTCAAAGATGAGAATGTGAACTGATAGGAACTAATTGGAGAAATATCCAAGGGGTTACGTGACACCTTCTAAAATTGATGGTTTCTGCAAACATATCTCAGAGGGGTCAAATAAGCTAAGCCCTAGTAGAGTCTACACAGAGTGCCCAAAAGTCAGCCACTACCAGCTAAAGGGTATCATACAGTTGAGCACAGTATAAGACAATGCCCTTCAAGACTGCCAGAAATGCATCAGCTGCATTATCTACTGAATGGCCCCATTTGAATTAAATATACAGGCATCAAAATCAGTGATTCTCGCCCATCAACTTACTTCCAAATGTCCAAGGATTACATAATCAAGCCTATGCATTTGGACACAATAGCCATTGAATTACATACTGCTGACCCGAACTCATCAGGTCTTTGCAAGTTTCACATGGATTGAAAATCTTTAAACTAAACTATTTCTCAAACCCCAGATCAGAAGATGCCCTTATTCGAAGGTGATGGCGGAAAAAGAAGAAAACGGATCCGTAAACCAAAAACCGAAGCCGGTGTCTCCTTCAGTCAAGCTGTCCAGCTGGAACATCAACATATCCTTCAGACCCCATTGGCGCAACCAGCCAATGATATACACCCAACCGATCATCCCAATGAAGACTCATCAGCTCAAGAAAACAACAACCAAACCTTCGATCCCACTGGTCAGGACGACTTTGACTTTGGAGCTGACCACATCGGAAATAACGGTCTGGACCCCTTCCAATCTGCACACCAACAGGATTGGTTACCATCGGACCACCAAGACAATGATCATCTTACCAATTCTCGTGTTCAGCAACTACACCGATACTTTCAAAGTGAACATTACAAACAAAAGAAGATCCTAGAAGAGAAGAATTGGGAAGAAGCATATCAGGAAATGTTCTCATCATTCCAGCAGTGTGCGATCAAAACCTTTGAATGGGGTAACCCAAACCTATGGAACCATGATTGGAACGAGCCCTGTAATTGTAATAATCTTCGATCAAGACCAGTGGTCTTGGTAGATATGTACAGTAAGTTTTCATCAAATGCATGACCAAGATGAACTCGGTGTGTAAACATGTCATCTGTATACTGAACCCCATCAATGCTTTCTAGGAAGAACACAAACCGAAGTCTCATTTTGCAAATGCCAGTCAGACCAGGTCCGCCTTATCAGGATGGGTTATATTGGAGGATCACCAAAATTCCCCAGAACCGCATTTTCCATACGACTCTTGAGATTCCATCATATCATCTGGAAACACTGTGCAGTATCAATCACACCTTTTTCAAAAGCTCTGGACGAGTTCCTCGATTCAAATAACCCTCTCATTCTTGTATCACCACCGACTTTGCAATCTGAAAGCTGTTATACTGTGAGAGACTATTCTGATAATCAGTGTGAGAATCATAAGGATGAATACTAATGCCAAACAATTATGAGATTCAAGACCAGACAATGGAGGCAAACCATCTCCGCAGCAATTGATGCATACCGGGAGATGATCAGGCGAGGACAGATCATATTGGAAGAGCTCTTACAGATGGGACCTATGGATAAACTTGCGAATATTTGTCCAAAGTGCTATGGCCCCCCAGTTCCCGGAAAGACACCGGACGAGCCAGATTATATTGTATGCATGGACGGAAATTTTCAACATCGTAGACACCTTGCAGCCAGCCAAGAACTTCATCAATCTCGCAAGCCTAACACCCTCTTCATTTCTCCGGCCGAGGTTCAGGAAATGGAATTGAGTATGGTATCCAGTCGAAACACATTGGCAGCAGATGAAACCTTAGTAAGTTACATCATTTTTAAACAATATGAAATCAGATGACTGATATAATTTTATGTTCTTGTAGGACCAATGTACTGAACAACACACAGCAGCCAATGATACCAGGGGGGCTGCAACATGGAAGGCTTGTGATGACACTGGCATCTTTGGGTTGGCATGTCGTCATGACCAAATCTTGAGGCTAATCAACATAGTTCAAAGTGGTGAAAAGTAAGCCAGACATGTGTATTAATTTATGTTTTGAAATAGTCAATCTGATTCTTGATTTAAAAGGGCATATTTCCCAATGACCATGATCAAAAATCTTCTCACAACCACACAGGATGGAGAGAATAGAAAAAAAATTGGCTTCTTGTACGATATAGGCTGTAATATGGAAAAGGGAATTAATAAAGTAAGGATTCCCTGTTGTCTCCCTACTAAAGTGGCCACTATTAGACTAATTCAAGTGCATTTAGCAAAATTTATTTAGTGAAGAACGCCAGGGAAACCAGTTGATGTTTGGAACAAGTGTTTTCCACGCTTATGTTCATCAATGCTCATGTCAGCTGCAATATAACCCTAGGCTCAACAATGGATGGGGGATGTCGGATGGTGAAGGAATGGAGCGGATTTGGGCTTATTTATCTCCTCTGATCAGCTCCCTAAGGTATTCAACCAAGACTCATAGACTTGTGGCATTAGATCTACGGTCTTCCCATCACAATGATACTGGTAAAACAAATTCAAGTATGTCATTCCGGTATTTGAAATAAAATACAATTTGTTTGATGAAAAAAATGTTTCAAGTCAGATTGCTCTTAGATCGTGGTAAACAGGTGGAAGAAGCAATGAAAACTGCCCTTGAAAAACTTAAGGAAATCGAAGACAATTTTGGTCACTCCACAGTTTACTTGGCTAACCAATGGATCCGACAAAGAGAGTGTCAACTATCGGCGATGGAGACTGAGTCTGAAAGAGATATGATGAGACAAGTTGAGGAACTTGTTGAGTTGGAAGACCAACTTCGGGATACACAGTAATTTGTTTCCTCAGAATACACAGTATAATTGAAGCTGATACACAGAATTTATTGTAGCAACACAATTGTATCATTAAGAGCCAAACGTAGGCGTGATCGAACCAGCGAGGAACAAAGGCAGCTTCATGGACTACCAGACACAGTTGTATCGTTGGAGGAACAAATTGATCAGGTTATCAGTGAGCTTGGATCTGAAGCATTTCGAGGTCTTCCAGGAGCCTCTGGTGAGTTTATACTGACCCAAGCATCACTACATACAAATAGCCACCCTTCCATTAACATTAATTTTGAGACAGATGCAGAGACAAAGGCTCTAATAAGGTTGAAAGTGAGCAAATCCAAACTATACAAGGCCAAAGTGGGGGTTTTGGAAGTCCAGAAGAGATGGGATCAAAGGGGATCAGGTGTGTCTTTAGAATTGCAAGTATTTATTTGGTCTCTTTAACCTCTGATATTGTTTGACAAGGAAACAGGTACACGCATGCAAGCTAGGTTCAAGAAATTGATGAGTTCCAAGGTCAAGCTTCTGAAGAGCAAGTGGACATCATACTGCAACCGAGCCACCATCTACAATGAAAACTATATGCCAGAGATCGACATTGGAACACCTACATTTGAAGAAATCAAGTCAATGGGCCTGGATGATCATTTTTGGGATATGGGTTCTCTTTTGCATCCAAATGAGCCTTGGGCAATTGATCCAAATGTGCGAGAAGGGATTGATGCACTCCTTACATCCACCCATTGCAAAGACGAGCTGCGAAGGATTTCACGAGAGGCACGACAAGCAGTCAAGTGGGCTATTGATAGGTCAAACTCTCTGGAAAATCTTTATGACTTGTTAGACCCAGGTCAGCATTTTCCTTTAAAGCAAAATATCACAGATTACTCACCTAATTTTGTTTTGGCCCATTTGAACTAAAAAAAATACTCTGCAGCAAACCAGCAATCTGGTGAAGGAAGCAATTTTATAACCCAAATCTGCTCCAAGCATAACATTCCTCATGCTGTTCTGAAGTCTGTCTACTGCTCACTAGCCAAAAGTCACAGTCGAGTTTTGATGACATGGAACGCCAGCTGCTTTGAGCTCCTCAACTGGAGTCAACAATATCATCAAGACCACGAAGCAAATGATGAAAATATCCAACATCAATGGACCAGATTAGTTACTGAAGCCCATAACACATGGCAGAAAATAACAATGGGTACTTCTATAGTGTTTGAGTTTAGTAGTGTAGAGGAACAGCAGGAGGAAGATATTTTACAACAAGAGGAGCACATAAATGATACTCATTTGGAATAAAACAAATTAGCATTCTTGATTTATGTATATTCTATAAGCCTAACCATTCACCTGTCTAGTGTGGCCAACAAATAACTATTTCATATATTTTCTTCAGGTATTGAAATTATGAATTCAATCCTCATCACATCTTTGCCCCAGGAATTAACTTTTTTTTCTGTAGTAGTTGGCTGACCAACAAAGTCAAATGGTACATTTCAATTTTTATTGAAATTACTACTTGATTACCTATTTGTAAACAAATGAATACTAACTGATGTTGAAATGGGTCACAAGTTTTCATCTTGCTCAAATTGATTATAGAGTTTTATCCCACAAACAATTGCAGCACACAGCAGAGTTGGATTACAAGTTTGGACGTGTTTTTTGTATATAATGTTTTATACCTTATTTTTCATCTTTTTTCAAAAATATAAATTTATTCCCTAGGTTTTGAAATGCACAAAAGTTTACGGCATCATTCAATTTCTGTAGAAATCAACAGATCTCTTTGAAAATTGCAATTAAACACATTTTTTCAAACAATTTCTTACAACCTATTTCTCAAAATTTTTTGACATGTTAAATTTTTTTCCCACACTTGAAGACATTTATAAAATTATGGTAATGGTCACTTTGAATGAAAATAAAAAATTTGTCTTGAATATTGCATTTGACATTTGTTTTTAAATTAATTTTTAAAGGCCTAATTTTCATTATTTTTTGGAATTTTAAATTCATTTCCTACATTTTGAGAGGTTTAAAGCTCCATGGTATCATTGATTTTAACAAAGATCAAGGTTTCAACAGTAATATATGAGCTTACCCAGTTTCTTACATCATTTGTATGGTATACCATTTTTATTTGTATGCAAAAAAGATATAAGCATAAATTTCTAAACCTTTGAAAATGTAGGAAATGAATTTAAAATTTCAAAAAATAATGAAATTTAAGCCTGTAGAAATCAGTCCGAAAAAACTTGTCAAATGCATTATTCAAGAAAAAATTCATGTTGATGTAAAATGATTGTTACCATAATCTTATGCTTCCCTAAAAGTGTAGGAAAACAAGTGGAAAATGTCAAAAAATAAGAAGAATTATGCTGTAATAAAATTAATTCAAAAAAAGGGTCTAATTGCCTTATTCAAAAAAAACAGTTGGTTTTTATGGAAAATGGTTTTTACCATAAAATTCTACACATTTTAAAACATGAAAAATAAGTGGTAAAAAATGAAATCCAAAAAAAGCTTCCAAACACTGATAACACTTCTGCGGTGCACAGCAAACACCAACCATCTCTTTATTAAGGCCCTTAAACAACTGGTATCTCTTTTTTTCAATTTTTATACATTCCACTGGGTAGTTGTGTGAAAAATGGGGAGTTGAAATCAATTTTATGAATTGAGCAGTGGGGCCATACTTGAAACTGGGTTGAGCTGGCTGAGGTGTGTACAGGAGCTGCAAGGAGCTGGGTTGAGCTTTATGGACCTGTGTGGAGCTGAATTGGACTGGATGGGTTGGCTGAGGTATGTACCTAAGCTGGATGGATTGAATGAGGTGTATACCGGATCTGTGTGAGCTGTGTGGAGTAGGATTGGCTGGCTGAGGTGTGTACAGGGCTGTTTGGAGGCGTGTGGAGCTACGTGGAGCTACATGGAGCTGGGATGACCTGGGTTGAGCTGGATGGACTGGCTGAGT